CACGGAAATTTAAGAGATGTTGCACAAGGCTTCAAATAACAGCTCTTGCTTGGTAGGTAAGATGTGAGAAACATTAGCTAACTCAAAAGGTCCGAATGATAAACTTTTTCAGTTTGGAAAATACTGATTTGTTCAGTAGGACTGCGAGAAAGAAAGGAATTCAGAAGCTATTCAGACACTGGCGAAACCAAAAGGAAAGATGGAGAGTCAGAGGAAGCATTTTAGTTCTCTGAATGCTTTTACTGATGTTGTAATATCTATTAACATTCCAATCCTGCAATCTGTCCATCACATTCCTCAAGTCCATCTTCTTGCAGGACAAAGTGGTGGGCTGCAGCATGGGGCTGTTTTCTGCATGTGCCTTTCCACAGGGCATGGATGTGTCAGAGCAACAACTGAGAGCAGTCACAGCTGGGAAGGAGGGTGCAGGTGTTCCTGGCAGACCGTGGCCAGGCAGCAGATGGGAGGGGTCTGGAGGGAAAGCAAGGGTTTCCTCTGGATGATCTCAACGTTTTTTCACACATGCTGATGTCGGGAAATGTAGCTCTGAGTGAAAAGGGCATTGTAACAGTTCAGCTGCAGAGTCTGCCTGGGTTTGCCTGGAGAACCAGCACAGGGTGTTTCCAATGAACTTGCACCTTTGGGGCATCAGTCAGAGGCTGGTGAGTCACAAGGTTTGCTGGGCAGCAGAACAGGATGAATTTAAATCCTGCCTCTTGCTAAATTGGTACTTAGGCTTGTCATGAGCAGCAGCAGGAGATGATGGTTGCGGCCCCTCTTGGTTTTGTTTTGTTCGAGTAATGACATTGTATCCCTGGCTGCTTTTTGCAGTGGCCTGTCAATGTCCCCACTCTGTGTGGGCTGATGATTGCTCCTGGACAGAGAAAACTGGGAAGGGGTGGGCAGGCATAATTACAGCCTGACAGGGGCTCAGGATCAGACCTGGCACATGAAATCAGTTTGAACTCCACTACTGAATTACTGATGTTGCACATTCTCCCTGTTAAGACTTACAAAAGAAAAATCTACAGTGGTTGCCGTGAAACCAAAGGCTTGGTGTTTTTAAAATTATTTTTAATATTTTTTTTTAAATTTTTGTTTTTAATTTTCAAATAATCAGAGCTTGAAGCATACATGAGTGCATCCGTGTCCATTTTGATAGTAGGGAAATTGTCCTCTTGCTACAATGCCTGGAAAGAAAAAAACAAGCCACCTCTGCAGACAGTGATAGTTCCAGAGCACCAAACTCTTTAAGAGTGACCTAAGGACCGCACAGCTGTAGGAAGCTGCTGACAATTGTTGCTGTTCTGCTGTTGGAGGGTGATGTGGAAAACCTTGGACAATTCCGTAACGTGCTGTATGCCAATAACAGGGCATTACTTCATTTCCCCTGTAGAGAATGTGTGCATTTAAATGTGCAAGGCTTTGGGGGTTTTGCCTATTCTCTGCATTCTCTTCTATTTATAGTTGTCATTAACCCTTGTTTCAGAATGGCCAGTGATAGGGTTGCTGTGGCTGTGGGAAGCTGTGGTTTTTAATTTGCCGTCCTTGTGCCCATAAGGGGCAAGAGGTTTTTAGATTCAACTGGCCTGGCTGGATGGCAATCCCAGGCACTGCAAGCAGTGGATACAACAGTCTGTATTTTAAAAGGCTCTGTGTGGCGTGGGAGTTTGTGGATAAAAGCATTTTAAAGACATAGCCTGCCCAGCACTTCTCCTCCCAAGCATGTTGTCCAACATAAAACAGATCAAACTGTGAAGGATTACTGAATAGGCATTTAATTTTTTTTTTTTCTGAGAATTGAAACACGTTGCAAATGTTCTCACTCCATTGAATTAAGGCTTAGATATAAGACCAAAGGGAGGAAGAACAGATTTGACAACTGCCTACAGAAAAAGGAGGTATTTTGAAGTGCTGCTGATCTTTCCTTTAGGGACAAGAGGGTAAATTTAGGAGAAGCCTAAAGTGGTAAATGGGTATGGATGAGACCAGGGAATGTTGAAGGAAGAATCTGATCCTCCTGATTCCTTGGGCACTGGGAGCAGGTTCTGGTCCCATCCTTCTCATAGATCTGGTTCTTGAAAATGGTTCTTGAGAAGCATTCATCTTTTTAAAGGTATACAAATACATCCAAAAGTAGAAGCCACTTGCTTTTATGTACTGCTCTCCAAACTGTGGTGAGCACGCTGTCAGCAGTGCTGATGTGAAATACTAACAGCTGCAAGGCATCTGAGTATATGGCAAATACTTGGACATGGATTTGGATTGAGTTTCTGGGCTTTTTTTGATGTTTAGCCATGTAATGTTGCAAGGATTTGAATTTTTTTTCCCGTGTAGTGTGCTGATTTTTGACATTTTTTATAAAGCTACTTCTAAAATTAGCATTTGGTATTTTGAAAGTGCTATATATTGATCTTCTACTATATTCTTCTAGTAGATTAATTTCAGTTATTAAGTCCTATTTAATTGATTACTATATGTTTAAACATGGTTGTTTTCTCTTAGCAGTGCTTTTTTCCTCCATTTTTTACCTCAGATAGACAACCAAATTATCTCACAGGCTGGATTTTCTTTTGTTAGCTAAACCAGAGCAGGGATTATGATTGGATTCCACCAAAGCAAAGGCTAACAATGCTGGTATGGCAGAATAATCTTGAATCATATGTAAGTGCAGGAGGTGATCTTTGATGAATTGTTGCAAAGGCTAGGCTATTGAAAATGGCTTTGAGCAATCAGTGTTAAATAATTTGTCTCAGCCTGTTCAATTTTTTCACCAAAACTAGGGTTTCTAGTATTTTCTAACTCACAAGTTAATGAAAAATATTTCAATCATAGAATGCTGTAAATTATTGTGGAAAAAAACAAACTGAAAATTAACCTTTGACCATAAAATTGAACTTTTCCAATATATTGATAAGTCAATATATGTTTACAACTTTTTGATCCAGCTTATAAAAGTATAGTGTCTTCCTACCCCTCTTCTGCAAAACATGCCACTTTGGGAATACATGGATGTTTTTGATGTGTTTGGCTGCTCTTGCTCTCAAAATTCCCAAGCAGTGATGCATGAAGTGTGGTAGGTGGTATGTAATTTCACAATGGTAAATGAGGTATTGTACTTAGAACTTAAATTCTAGGTTTAAATTGCCCTTTTTAGAATTTTTGTGTTGCCTTTTTTAATATATTTGGCCACAAACCCATTATTTAATAAGTTCCATACTTTAGAAAGGCTTTATTTTTTCAGCCTTCAAAAATTATTTGAGCATTAGTTGATGTATGGGAAGTAATTAGGTCACTGAAACAAGATTGGTAGTTTAAAGAATTTGTCTTAATAGGATGCAGAAGTTGAAGTGATACCTCTGAAAAGATTCTACAAATGTTTAAAATTTTTTTGGTGATTCGGAGAGGTGAACTTTTAAGAATGAAAGTCTCTTTCTCTACAAAAATATTTGTCCAGTGTTTCTGTTTAAAATAAATGCTCTTTTGTTTGTTTAGCAGAGTTGACTCAGCTTTGGTTGGTTACCATAGTTCAGCACTGTTTTTGCATTTCCATGTGAATTTCTAGTAATTCCCAGGCTTGGTTCAGGTTTTGGGGATCTTTTTGTATCACTTTGTTAGCTGCCTGTGGAGCTGCACTTCTCTTCGTTGAATTTGGAAAAACATCAAGCCAGACTTAAGTCTTGATCTGAAATCCCTCAAACGTCACTCACTGATGAAAAACATCAAATAAATTTTTGTAAAGTAGTGGCTGCAGGCAAAAGGGAGAGGTAAAAGACTTTGCTTGTTTTAAATTAGTCATCTGATGGAGGGGTACCACGGCAAGGTAGCACTGATTACATAAGTAATAGCTGCTCAATGGCATTTTGGGAAACAAGGAAAAGTATTTAGAACTAAAATGTGCAGGAGTGGTAGGCGGGACCAAGGACAGCCTGATAGCATTCTGTAGCTGGGAGGTGACAGCTGACTGGTGAAGTTGAGCTGTGCTTTGTGTAGCTGTGCAGTAGCTGGTCCTTGGTTTGTGTGGTCAGCAAAGCTGTTCTCTCACCTCTGGTTCCTGGCTGTTTGCTGGCTGCTGCTGTGAGTCTGTCCAGTTTTCAGCCTCCTCACGAAAGCTGAAAGCAGTAACTGTGTGCCCAGAGTTCTTGAGGAGCTCAGTAATCTCCAGCGTTTGGATTGGAGGGACAAAAGGCTGGGAGGATCAAATAAGTGCCAAGTTTTAGCCTGACCTTGGCTTCTTTGTCTAAATGACTTCCTTTATCAGACTTGCTTACTTTGTTTTGTTTGATCCTGGTCCCCTGTTCAAGCCCAGCTTCTGGCTTTTGCCACTTTGGTTATATTGATTCAGTGTCTCCACTTGTCAGCTGGATTGTTGCTGCCCCATGAAAATATTCCCTCAAGCAATAAAATTACAGGTAAATGAAGTAATTTGGTATCTTCATGTAGCCAATACCAGCACTGTACTGGAATACAGGCACTCCAGAGCCCAGGGTTCGTGAACTAAAATCAAATACTGTGTTTTTTGTCTCTGAGTGGGTTCAACAAGTTGGCTTCCATTTCAGTATTAATGGAGTTGGAAAAATGCAAGTAAAGGTGAAAAAGAAATTCAGATTAGGGTTATTGACAAATTCAAACCCTAGTTTGGAGATCCTGATGAAGCTTTTGATAAAACACAGACTTGCATGCACTCAAACATTGTGTTGAAGTTATCCAAATACTCTGGTTGGGATGCCCACTGGAATCTTCATTCCTGTTTCTAGGAGTTTCATGTATAGTGGACCAGAAGGCATTGTTGACTATTTTAAGTTAAATTTCAGAATCATGTGGACTACCTGGATAGATGCAATGACTGAGAATGTTCCTTGGAAACACAGTTTTAATGTGGTGTTCTTTTAACTTTTATTCCTGAAGTAGTGTTACTAGATAATGCCTGTGAATAATGAGAACAACCTTGGGCTAACCTTTGGTGTTTGTAATAATCTTTTTTATTTTGTTTTTCCCAGGACAAAATGGCCAAAATGGAGGTCAAGACATCGCTTTTAGACGACATGATAGGGGTGGGAGATATGGTTCTCCTAGAGCCACTTAATGAAGATTCCTTCATCAATAACCTGAAGAAGCGCTTTGATCACAATGAGGTTTATGTGAGTATATGTTAAGTAATAACATCCTATGGGGAGCTGTGCTGTCATTCTTAAGATATGTTTATTTTTAAGGATACACACTGACTCAGTGCCTGAACATTATCTATTGTATTAGGGATGTTTTAAACCTTGTGCTGTAGTGTCTTTCCTGTACTGCATTCTTTGCATTTGATCTTTCCCATCTGGGATATTTTTCCTTTTTTCTTTTTTCCCATTGCACGGCATGGGGGACCTCTGATTATCATAAAGAACAGTTCCAGAACTGCTGCTGACAGTAACTTTGATGCTCCTGTTGTTAGAGGGCATTGCAGTTATAAATAATTCAGTTACAGGGAAGGCACTTTCAGGATGTTTCTGCTGAAGCAGAAACAATGCATGCTTGGAATATGCTAAGGGTAACTTAAATATTGTCTACTATCTTTGATTTGCAAAAAGATTGTGTTTATTAAAATGGTTGGATTTTAAACTAAATACAATGAGCTTGGATATATGTGGAAGCAATCCAAGTCTTGAGGCATATTAATCTCTGAGTGATGATCAGTAGGAGAGATGTTGTGAACTGGCAGTTGAAACACAGGCAGGGAATGAAGAGGCAAATGGTTATTCCAGTTAAACCTTTCATTTCCTGCTTCATCTCTTTGTTCCACTTTGGCTAAAATGTGCACGGTGTTATATCTGTTATACTGCTTAGGCTGCGTGAATTTAATGGTTTGTAGAGACTTTCCAAGGCTGCTGGCAAGCCTAAATATTTAAGCCAAAGTATATCTATGATCTGCAAGCAATCATGTCTGCAGCTTACTAAAATCAAATAGGTGTTCTTTACTTAATTATAATGTAGCATTCTATTTTTCATTCTTGCTAAGCATTTGAACCATCATGGTTTCATTAAACAGAAAGGAGAAGGTATGGGAGGATCTGTGCTATTTTTGTTTGCTTCTTCTGTCTCTTAGTTATAGTCTGTGCTTTTGTACCTCTGCTATCCATTGTCTGCCACATCTCAAACAATTTTCTCGTTCATCCACGCCTGCTCCCTTTTCTGGAGACATTATGTTGGTAACACGCTGTTGCTCCTAACTGCTATTGTATCATCTCCATCAGTTTGCTCCTTCAGGTTGTACTGACAAATTAAACAATAAAATTAGAATAAGAAAAGGCTCTCAGTATCCATGAAAACCTTGTTGAAGATGAAACCTAAACAATGTATATTTGTGGAAACATTTCTTCCTCAATGTTTAAAAAAGTTAACTTTTTTTTTTTTTTTTTGTTTTTAAACTTCTGTTGTACCTTTGAGAGTTACATTTGCAAATCTTTGTGTCTTAAATTTTCCTCGTTCCTTGAAGATGGGTTTTGTTCCCTATGGATAACCCTTGGATGTTAATAGAGGCAAGTAGATATCAGACTTCTCTTTTCTGCTCTTTCATCTTGCTTCTGGTAAATCCTACATTCTCAACAACTGCAGTGGCTGCCTCTTCTGGGATTCAGGGTTTTTTTTCTCCAGTCAGTGGCTTGTATACTTAACATGTTCCACATAAATTTTAGGGTTAATATTCTATTCCTGATGCCTACAGTAACAGTGGGTGATACTGAATCACCTCATTCCATTTAACTCAAGAAAATATGAAGGAAAAGAAAAGGAAAGAGAGCTGTTTGCCTGGAGATTAAAGGAGGCAGTAGTACCCAGCCCAATCTTTGGGTCATACTTGAAAGTTTTATTTAAAGCATTAAAGGCCTTTTAAATAAAGGCTTTAAAAGGTGTGAGGGCACCCTGGACTTGCAGTTTCTTAAGAAGGATTGCTATAAATCTTATGGGAGTGGATTTCTCAAGGGGGCTTTTTTTGTTGGTGGTTTTTTTTTTTTTTTTTTTTTTTTTTCCTGTAAACTACATCTTTCTGCTTAATTCAGACTGGATAGTTTTTTCTGGAAAGAAAATGGGATGTTTTAATGGCAAATGGGTGTTTTGTTTTGTAATTGTCTGCTGTTCTGAGCTAGCTGACAATGTGTGTTCAAACACACAGTTCTTTGAGATGGTGACAGAGAAGTTTGTATTTCTGCCAGTTTCTGATTCTGCTGCACCTGACACTGATGGGCAATGAAATTGTCTGTATTATGTGCTTTGGTAGGTGATACCAGGTGACACATTATCCTAGCAATGTAGGATCCTTTGGCTTGCAGGTGGGAAAACCTGTTTTTTCAAGGATTCACTGTGTGTGACTCTGCAATACAAAGGCCAAATGTTGCAGATCTTTGCAAGTATTAGAACATTCACTACATACAGTGGTGGAGAAAAAGAGATGTTCATGCCTGTGCCACATGCTGCTACCAAGTATGCAAGTTACTTAGCTTGTGATTTATTTACCAAACCACTTGAGGAATATTATCTTCTCTCCATATCAGCTGAGTTTTGCTGTCTTGCAAATTTTCACGCCTCTGTTGCATATTTTAGAAAACTTGTAAAACAGTAACAGTTGGAATAGTGCTCACTGTAACAACCATGTTTATTTTCAAGTACAAACTCTTCTCTACCTTCTCTTTGTTGCCACCACTCATGGCAACTACACTTTGCATTTCTGGTTTTAGACTTTGATGAGGACAATGGAGCCTCTGTTACACCTGGAAGTAGGGCTTGTTTTACTGTGTAAAATCTGTAGTTTGCATCCTGGGGAAACCAAATTGTGCTATTCAAGAGCTGCTGCCGGTGCTTAACCAAGACTGCAGATTTCTGCTGCTCCAACAAGCTACACAGAGAAATTGACCTCTCAGGATCCTTTCAGAGGGCAGTAGGAATGGATTTGTCCTTTAATGGCTCAGCTGTGGGCTTAAGTTCAGCCCTCATGTCAGTGTTCCACTGCAGGCATTGCCAGAAGTTGTGTCCAAGTTTAAAGAACAAAGTCAAGCTGCAGCAAACCAGGCTTTACCCAACATGGTTTTCTAAACTGTTTCCTGCAGACTGAAGGCTCTGTCTGTGCTGCATATGTTAGTTTTAAAAAGGAGTTGCAGTTGTGTCCTTCAGAAGGGTTTGTTGTGAGGAATGAGACCTGTAACATGGATAGCTTTGAAGAGGCTGTAAGGTTGGCCAGATGCTGTGCGGTCGTGTCAGCCAGTCTTGGTAGGTAAATGCACAAAGGGGACCCAGTGGAGAGATGGGCATAAGCCCTTCAGTAAAGCCTGTTGTGACAGGGTGAGGAATATTGGTTTTAAGCTCAAAGAGTGTAGATTTAGACTAGATAATAAGCAAGATTATTTTTTTTTTATGATGTGGATAGTAAAACATTGTAACAGGCCGTCCAGGGAGATGCCCCGTCCCTGGAAACATTCAAGGTCACCATGGAGATGGACTCTGAGCAACCTGATTTAGTTGGAGATGTCCCTGCTCACTGCAGAGGGGGTTGGACTACAGACCTTTAAATATGCATTCCAACCCAAACTCTTCTGTGATTCTATGAAATGTGAGAGTCAGATCGAGCCATCAGTGAACAATGCCAAACCTCTCCCCTCCCCACAGCCAAAGATGACAAGATAGTTGGGCTCATTCCACTAGAAGATTTTTTGCCTTTTCTAGTCTCTTTCACAGTTGTTATGTTTGATATTGGAGATCTTAGTGCCAGCTCCATTTGCCCCTTTGAAACTCTAGATCTACTCCATAAGAGCTCCCTTTACAAAAGCATTTAGATCTGCATCCTCTGATGGTCCTTTTGTATCATCCCAGGCACGTTTGCTGTAAACCCTTCAAAAACATTGGCAAAGTTTCATGCCATGGTGCAAACAGGGCAATGAGTTCCCTTCTAAGAGGAGGGAACAGACTGTGGCTTCATTGACCTGTTGTTCAATTTTATGTGTATTTGGTGGAAAGTTTAATAGACTTGGGTGTTGTGTTACATACTAGAGCGCAAAGCTGGAGGCTGTGCCTATAAAAATAAGCATGAAGGCTGGTGGAGCTGGAGTTAGGCCAAATATTCTACTAAAGACCATCAGATTCTGCAGTAATCTCATGCTGAGTGGCTTTGTGCAGGGGGAAGGGTTTGTTGGGTAACACGCATGTGTTAATTGGAAATGGGAATCTTAGAGTTTAGTCATGTCTGGAAATGTCTGAGGTATGTCTGACCAAGAAAAATCTCATTAGAAAGCTGTAATTGTTTATTATATTGTTTTTGCAACTCTTAAACTTTACATTGATAAAATTTGCATTGCTGTTCCACAAAAGTTCTTTTCTGTAACTGTTGGTAACAAAAGCCTGTGGGAGTATTTCGTTAACTTTATGAAGTAAAATGTGGCTCATGGGCAATGCATTAGCAAGTAGGAAAGAATCCCACAATGTTGATTATTTGAAGGTTTCAGGGAGCAGTTTGTGTGGTTAAAATGTGTGACCTGCAGACCGCATGGAAAACTTTAAATACATTCGTAAAGTTCAGTTTGTGTGTGATTGATGAATTTTTGACTTGTTCTGTTGAACTCCCTCTCTTAAGGTTTTTTTTTTTTAAGTTGGCTGAAATATGCTCACCCAATCCAGTTCAGCAATTACTTTTCCTTTGCAGTTTGGGATGCTGACAAATGTGAGGGGGCATATGCATTTACGGTGACTCATGAATGGTAGAGATTTTGGATAAAATATAGTATTTGTATTGGTCTGAACTTATTTTTATGTTGTTGGGTTTGTTGGTTTGTGAGACATGTGTAAGTGTCAAGGGAGGTGTGAGGAGTCTGGAGGGGGGGTGGAGCTGTGTAGGCTCGCAGGAGTCAGACTTTAGAGGTCAGATATGGCTTTTTTCTGCTGCCCTGCACATTTTTCCCCACAGTTATGTTGTTTCTTGAAGTCTTCCCAAATTTGCAGAGGTCAACATTTTGTTCCTTACAAGAAAATGTTTGTTTGCTTTTTGTTCTTACAACAAAACAGAATCTTTCTCTGATGTCAGCATTAAATTTGTATTTTCTGGTACTTGGAGTTTGTGGGCTGCTTTGGGCAGCAGCAGTCTTATGTTACTGAACATTTGTTGTTTTATCAC